TAAATGTACAACTTGTGCCTCCGGAGCCACAAGTGGTAGAATACTCGATCTAAGTCCGCTGGTCCCTCAGAGGTCTCCCTGCGCTGTACACGGCGAGCATGATGAGACAGGAAGTTGGACAGGAAATGACCTTTGGCATCCACTCTAGTGGGGTGAACCACTTCATACTGAGGCAGATCATAAAGAGATCTCTCTGTCAAAGCCATGGTGGGAAATGAAGATATAATAGGAAAGGGGTTATTAAGTCATGGGAAAGAGGAGGGTAATTAAACAACTAAGTGGATGTAAAGTTATAAACAAAACTCCCTAAATCTATAATTTTTATGTCTGAATACAGCAGCAATGTATACTTAGAGGAGCAATGCTTCAAAAGGTAATACATTTGAAAGAAGCTGGTGAAACTCATTCCTCTGATAAACACAATACTCCCAAATTTCCTGTGACCTGGAATAACTGAATCAGCAGCAGGAAAGGCAGTATGACAGAGTTCTCCCAGTAAAGAAATGTGCAGTCTGCTCTTTTCAGTTCCATACTGTATATGTAAATAGAATTTTATTGCTGTATTTTACATGAGAAAAGACTGTGACCAGATCCATTTCAAGTTGGCAAAATCTAAAACTAAAATCTATGACATTACTATTTTCAAACTTACTGTATTGTTGAGCTGCACTTTTGTGAATTCAGGGTGTGTCTATATGAACTATCTACAATTTTTTTCCAAAATATTATTTATGAATCATGTTTAGCAATGAAAACCTTAGAGCATTTGTGTATATTGAAGGTTGGTATTAGCAGCAGCCTCATGACTTGAACTATTTAGTTTTATGTTTTATCATTTTTCTTTTATCAGTTTTATCTTTGTGTGTGCATTGTGAATCGCCATTACATACGAAAATATGCTATATAAATAAACTAGCCTTGCCTTTTGCCATTTCCCCTGCACAAAGATGTTTTCAAAAATGCAACAAAAATCAATTAGCATGACTGTCTTTCACTATGTGTACAGTATTTTGAAGAAGATCTAGATACAGCCTGAGACTGAATTGGCTAAATATTGACTAATTAAAAATGTATGTGGCCTTGGCAGATGTATATGCTCACTCTGTGACCTCAAACCATCCTATTTGCAAAAATAATATAATGTGAACAAAAGCATCTAGACTGCACGTGTTACTATATTTCTCACTGTGGGGTCTGGAACCACCAAGGCATCCTTATGAAAAAAAGTTAACTCAGGATCCAATTATATCAAACTTAGCTAATTACATGTTTATTTAGCTTCCTTTCTCAGTGTATAGTGAATACAGCCAGGTAAGGATACAATAAACCTCCTCAAATGTATAATCAAGATGAAACCTTTGTCCTAGTGCTCTCAGTAGCTGTGAAATAAACTTGGGGATTCAGGTGTCTGTGTTCCACCTAAAGCCATTACTGTTGGGGTGTGCAGTGACATGTCTATAACTTCTAACAATAGTTCTCTTTTCTCTCAAGGGCACACAGATGCTAATACAGGATGAGACGGAGTGTCCACTCTCCTCTGCTTGTTTCTGTAATGTTAGGAGAGCTCTGACTTTTGACTCAGTGGAAAACTGAAAGGATGAAACTGCAAACAATGGATTAGACAAGAGAGGACTGATGCTCTGATGTCATGATGTCCACGGAGCTTGACACCTAATACATTTTGCAGAGTAGGATGGACATTTGCTCTATATGTGAATAACAATTATGCATTTGTAGAAACTTTAGAAAAAATTGTGTGGGGATTCAACTTCTCAATATTCACAGAAAAGAAGGTCTCTTCAGCTACCACACTAAACTTTAAACTGCTTAGACACAAGCCACAGCTGGCCTCAGTCTGACTCGGATGCGCTCTGGAGCAAATGTGCACAACAAAGGGAGACCTGAGTTGCAGGGGCATCGTTATATCATGAAATCACAGTTGCCTGCGTTTTGTTTTCAGGCTCACTAACCTGGTTCATGTGATAATCCCAACGTTTTGGAGTTTTCTAGGACCATCAGAAGTGCGATGATGAGGTGAATAGGAGAAACTCCTTGTCCAAACGCGTGGAGCCCGCAGTCTGAACGGGTCATTTTGTCAGGACGGTGGCCTATATTTTAAGAACATTTAATGCTTTTCTAACACCGCGTCGACTGTCAATATAAACTGTTTCCATATGTTTGTATGGGCGTTTCGCTTTGTCACGACCAGGCACTTAAACTGTGACAATCCTGATAAACGTTTCCAATTCAGGCTTGAACATCAGCCGCCTCCTTGGGGCGTTTTTGTCGCATTCCCTGTCCTTTTAACTTGTTTGTCGGCGTTAACGTTTGCTTACGAGCAGCCGTCCCCTCCGTCCTCCATCAGTCTCATCCCCACAGCCAGTGACAGCAAACTTTCCTCTGCAAACTTCTGCAGAGCCACCCCCACAATGGGTGGATTTGAGACAATGGAAATATCTTTCAAGAGGGCTGCAGGCTTAAAGGGGAAGAAATCGGATATAGGGATCCGGTCCAGTTGGCTGTCGCTCTCCAAACGGAGGTTCTTCGGGTTTTCGTGGGTCAGATGGGGACCATTTTCCATATTACTGCATAGAGAGAAACGATTACAGATGAGAGGTTCCAGACTGAGCAGTATGATCTCCCCTTGTGCTTAAATAATGAGTAGCCTTCTCCACTGTCAAGTCACAAGAAACTGGTTGAATGCATTACGTTCCGTGATTTGAAAGCCCTTCGGACAACCTGGACCTACTTGCAGTCTGTTAAGCACAGGGGTTTTTAAAAAAATTTATTTTATTATTATTATTATTTTTAACTTTTGATGCATTTTTATTTGTATTTATTAAAATAGAAAAATTCTCATAAATGGGTTTTCGTACTATGAATTCAACGGAAGTAAATGAAATAATGTCTATACTGACAAATCCACATGGTAAACTCTACGTCTTAGTTTTATTTTATTATTAGTCTGTATCTGCCCGAGGTTAGTTCCCCCTCTAGCGGGGAAATGGATGCAGTACAAACTTTACTCTTGTAAGCTGTTTTAGATGTTGTACAGGAATTCTGCTATGATACAATACACAAGACATTTATTTTAAAGCAACCAAGGATTTTAACTGTGCACTGGCGAGCTTAAACGCACACCGACCTTAATGATGCTTTCAAAGATGAATGTGGATTTAACTCATTAAATGCAAACACAGATCAGGTGCACCGACCGAATATGAAGAAGGAGGCGGAAATGTAATTTACAAGAACTGACTTGGTCTTGTAAATATCTTTGACATACTTTTCGAGATATTTTTTTTAATTTAACCTGAACCATTATGATGCCAGCCAAGTTTAACACTTCATTCTTAATGTTCCTTTTCATTGCTCCCGTTTCATTAAGTCTTAATACTTGTAATTTATTTGAGTTCTCTTGAGGAAAACTTTACTTCATTAATTACTCCATCTGAGGCATTTTACGCACGGCACCATGTGCGAAGGACATTCCGTCACAGACTTGATGTGAGAGATAGAAATACATTCATTGAGCCCATACCAGTCATTTGGCTTCAGCAGGCTTTATAACTGGATCTGTCTGTCACGTCCTGTTCCACCAATCGTGGTTCAACTGAGCAGCTGTATAAAAGCAGCCTTCAACTCAGCTGTAATTCAGAGATGTGCGAAGAAGGATCATCGCAGGGGTAAAAAGAGCTGGTGCAGCTTCAGAAGGTTCGTTTGTGCGGTATTTTCTAACCAGGGCGCAGTAGAATGCTTGGTTTGAGTCCAAGTCCGTAACTTTGGTTATGGATGAAATATTTAACTACAGTGGAGCACTGAACAGAAGTTCGCCTGGCGAAGGGAAATTCAGTTTCGAAGACATTGATATGAGCGCGGATGGCACCCCCATCCTGAGGATACTCATCTCAGTGGTGTACTCTGTAGTTTGCGCAGTGGGTTTGGTGGGGAACCTGCTCGTCTTCTTCCTCATGAGGTTACGACAAGGTCGGAAGAGGTCCAGTGTCAACGTTTTCATCATCAACCTGGCAGTGACGGACTTTCAGTTCGTGCTGACTCTGCCCTTCTGGGCCGTGGATACTGCGTTAGACTTCAGCTGGCCGTTTGGAAACGCCATGTGCAAAATCATCCTGTCGATCACCGTGATGAACATGTACGCGAGCGTGTTTTTTCTCACTGCCATGAGTGTGACCCGCTACCTGTCTGTCGCCTCGGCCCTTAAGAAAAAAGGTCACAGGAGGTCAAGGTGTGTAAAGTGGGTGTGCACAGTGCTGTGGGTGGCGGCAACGCTGGCCACTGCTCCGACGGCTATCTTCTCCACTGTGACTGTGGTTGCCGGAGAACAACTATGCCTCCTCAAGTTTCCTGAAGGCTACGATTGGCTCGCCCTTTATCACATGCAGAAAATAGTGATCGCTTTTATCATCCCTATGCTCATGGTGTCTGTTAACTATCTCATGCTCCTGCGCTTCGTAAGACGGAGGAGCATGGACAGCAGCAACCCTAACCGGAGATCTAGAGTCACCAGATCTATCGCTATAGTGGTCTTATCTTTCTTTTGCTGCTGGATGCCAAATCACGCAATCACCTTCTGGGGTGTCTTGGTCAAGTTTAACGTAGTCAACTGGGATAAAGCATATTACATGGTGCACACGTATGTGTTCCCGGTCACAGTGTGCTTGGCACACGTAAACAGCTGTTTGAATCCGGTACTTTACTGCCTGATGAGACCAGAGATCAGGAAGATGCTCAGCGGTTTGTTTTGGAGAGTCTCTCCTGCTTCCTTCAGCAAGAGCTGCACCACGCGCTCTTTTACGCAGGGAGAAACCCAGGGGAGTCGTCCCTCTGGACACTGGAGAGAACAAACTGTTCATCACAGCCCGTAAAGGCTTAGCAAGCTCCAATATGATCTCACACATGGATAACTTCAGCCTGCTGAAAACAGATCAAAGTTGCTACTTTTATGCTTTGTTGTATGTGTGTGTGTGTGTGTGTGCGTGTGTAATGCCTTCGCTTTATTTTTTGGCTGTTAAACATTCAGTGTTCAAGATCAGAAAACGCCAGAAAAAAGTTCTAATAAAACGTCTGTATGCATCAAGTTTAATTAGCTGCTTTGTCAAAGTTTATTTATATATCCCCCATATCCTATGCCATGTTGTGAGCAACACTACATATTATGCATGTGTTTTATGGTGTAATGTGTAGAAGGAAACCCAGTCAGTTACAGTGAAAATATGCAGACAGTAAAAGGACCAATGCTGACATTTAAACTTCTTAATACCTTCTCCCTGTGTAGCACCTATCAACATATGTTATAAAAACAAATTGTCTATAATGTGTCAATATACTAAATAATTGTCTTCATAACAGCTACACTGCACAAACAAGATTTTCACTGGGAGAATCAGAGTTGGATCTCCCCTTGGATATCTCTGTCAAGATCTGACCAATGATCTGCACCGATGAAGGAGGAGGAGGTCAGACAATGTGTTGTCACTGTGGTCTGTCAGAGAGGATGGGATACAAAGAGGTGACACACAGTATAGATACTGGCTTTCATCAAACTCGATTTGACAGTTCTAGGTGAAAGGTTATCCAATCAGAATCTAAAAAATAAAGACCAGGTAATGATGTAGTTTGTAATGTTATATAGTGAATAAAACAAATGGTACATAGAAAGTATAGTAGTGATTTGTATATTAAATAGAGTTGAGCTGATATTTAGTTTCAAAAATGAGGAGACAACAGCTATTTAAAAAAAAGACATAACTATTATTATTGGGGTTTCTGTTTGTAATGTTATATAGTGAATAAAACAAATGGT